GGAGAAAAGATGGGGAACTCATCAAATTTGTGGATGATACCAAGCTGGCAGGAATAGCCAACACTCCAGAAGACAGGTTTAAGATACAGGAGGACCTGGACAGACTTGAACACTGGGCGCTATCTAACAAAATGAAATTCAATCGTGAAAAAAATAAGGTTCTACATTTAGGCAAGAAAAAACAAATGTTCAGGTATAGTATATGGGGTACCTTGCTCAATAGTAGTAACTGTGAGAGTCCTAGTGGACAGTCACTTAAATATGAGCCAGTAGTGTGCTGCAGCTGCCAAAAAAGCCAACAAAGTGCTGGGCTGCATTAACAGAGGGATAGAATCAAGATCATATGAAGTATTAATACCACTTTACAATGCCTTGGTAAGGCCACACTTGGAATACTGCATCCAGTTTTGGTCACCATGATGTAAAAAAGATGTTGAGACTCTAGAAAGAGTACAGAGAAGAGCAACAAAGATGATTAGGGGATTGAAGGCTAAAACATATAAGGAACGGTTGCTGGAATTGGGTATATCTAGTTTAACGAAGAGAAGGACGAGGGGGGACGTGAAAGCAATGTTCCAATATCTCAGAGGCTGCCACAAAGAAGAGGGAGTCAGGCTATTCTCCAAAGTGCCTGAAGGCAGGACAAGAAGCAACGGATGGAAACTAATCAAGGAGAGAAGCAACCTAGAACTAAGGAGAAACTTCCTGAAAGTTAGAACAATTAACCAGTGGAACAATCTGCCTCCAGAAGCGGCAAATGCTCCCACACTGGAAGTTTTTAAGAAGAGATTGGACGCCATTTATCCGAAATAGTTTCCTGCCTGAGCAGGGGGTTGGACTTGATGACCTCCAAGGTCCCTTCCAACTTTATTATTATTATTATTATTATTATCATCATCATCATCTAAATCATCTAAACTGTTGTTGATTTCTTTGTCAGTGGTACTAATGAACTCAGCCTGAATTTCTATGGTTGGTTCTCTTCCACCACTTTGCAGCTTAAGTACACTGCTTTCACAAATGCAACTCAACTAGAAATCCATGTTAATGCTAAGAAGTCATCGATAGCCTATGTACACCACAGTAGCAGCTTTTCATTTTAACCATAATTTCAGTGGAATAAGTCATTGATTGCAATCCTAGTCTTTAATAATGAGTCCAAATAAATACAGTGAATGAATACTCAGACGATTGAAGTGATACAGTTGGGAAATCAATGCATTCTCCTTGATTCCTTTCTTTCTCCTTTCTTCCCTTTACTCCAAGGATTGGTTGTATGTTCAAGCAACCATGCCAGTTGCTTAAAGTGAACATAGCTCAGTGGAAATATTTTAAGGTATCATATGACCATCCTAGCTGATATGATCTCTGTACTCCAGAAACCAAGAAATCACAAAGTTGGAGAAGGCTGGTATAAAGGGATTAGGACATATCTCTTTAACTGTGTGATTTAACTTTGGATCATCAGTCCAACACCAGTTTTTCTGCCTTTCCTGATTAATGAGAATGTGCGTTTTTCCTTGCAGCCTGTCCAGTGAAGCTTTAGACCACCTGGCTATTTAGATGAATGTGTTCGTCTTTTTGGATGGTCTTTAGTTTGATGGAGGGAGAGCATGGATTAGGGAAATGCATGAAAAGATATAGTGGGTAATTGAAATGATTCTGCATTTCAGCCACCGCTGGTGCCTGGTCTTCAAAACATCAGTGTCTTTGTTTGACTTGCCTTTGTTTGTTGTTGCCTAATGTAATGTTGGTATGTAATAAAGTTTGTCTTTGTGATTTAATTGTGAATAAGCCAGCCTGTTCTGAATTACCAAAAGCTGGCTGAACAATGGTTTTGGGTATGGTATGGGCCATGATTCTGGGGCAGGAGTGGTGGAATGACTATTGGTATTTGTGAGATTCTGATGACTTCCAAGAAGATGATTGTACAGATAACTGGAGATGAGATCGTACTTGAGAAACTGTGTTTTAGGGGTCAGATGGATTTGCTACTCTTATTATAGCAGCCTTCCTGCTGCATATTATGGCTGAAGTGACCATAGAGTTCTTCAGCCTTATGATCCTGAAAGACTTCAATTCTGCTTTCTCCGGTTTTGATTTTACAGATCAAAAGTTCATGGCGGTCTAAAACACACTAGAAGTAGTCTTCACTTAATAACCACAATTGGGACTGGCAATTCCATCATTAAGCAGTATAGTGGATAAGTGAAACATCACATGACCACCATCCTCACACACACACTTAATGACAATCTGTTCCACTGCAGTTGTTAAGCAAACTATCTGTGGTTAAATGCAACATCACATGAACCGCAATTTGTGACTTACTGCCTGTTTTCACTGACTTTGTTTGTTGGAAGCTGGCTGTAGGGGTTGCAAATGGTGATCACATGACCACAGTTTCCATCATTGTAAATGTGGGCCAGATGCAAAGTGCCTAAATTGCAATCATGTAACTGCAGTTTTGAGACCCAGTCATAAATCTACTTTTGCAGTATGTTGTAATTTTGAACGGTCACCAAACAAGGCATTTGATAAGCCAGGCTACCTGTAGATCTATTTTTTGTCTCAAAGGAGTGGTAACATGACCTGTTATTGGTGGATATTACCTTCAGTCCCTTATCATGAAAATATTACTCTCTATTGCCCTTGCAGTTTTCTGTACTTGCTCCTCACCACAGGGAAGAAGGACCTGTTTGAATAGTTCACTCAGGCATCCACTTCTCCCAGGCTCAATTGCATCACATAACATATAAGCCGGTGTGGGCGTGGCCTGCGCATGATGCATCTGGCCTGCAGGCCACCAGTTTAATACCCATGCTCTAGAGGAAACTTAAGCTATGAGGAAATGGACAGGATTGTTCAGGCTATGAATTATGCTTCCTGTGTTTAGATTCATGTCTCACCTGTCTGTCAAGGTCTCCCAAAATATGATATGGCTGGATCCATGCAGTAGTAAATGCTTCTCTGGGAAAGGGGATGGTTTCATCTGCTTTGAAACAAAATGTGATCTGAACTCTCCTGAAGACACGTTTGGTAGATGCAAACACTTGGAGAAATTTCATCAGGTCTCTAACCTTCTCTTCCGTTCCCTTTTTGGGGAAAGTCGTGGAGAGGGTGGGAGGCTTATGCCTTCAAAGATCCTGGAGAAACATAGAGTATCTAGAGCTTTTTCACTCAGGTTGGAGTGATAATACCAAAAATGCCTCGATTGTGTTTGTGGATTACCTTTGACAGGCACAGGACTAAGACAGGGCTTCTGTCCTGGAATTGCTAGATCGCTCAGACATATTATTAATCATGGTGTTCTTCTGGACCAGGTCAGGCCCTTGAATGAGTCAGGCAGTATTTTGTGGTGGTTCTTCTTGTTCCTCCAGATCTGGTTCCAGTTACAATTGGTATCCTCATCTCTCCCTCTTTTATTTAACATCTACATAGAACATTGAGTGAGGCAATCTATTGAGATGGAGTTAAGTATGATCAATAGACTGATGGTATTCAGCTCTAAATTTCTGTCCTGCTTCTATCTAGAGTTCTCTCCCACTGCAGGGGGTTCTAACGGTCTAGATGGGGAAAAACAGGCTTTGACTCAACAATAACAAGATGAGATAACTTGGTTTTAAAACTCTCCAGATATGTGGATATTTCATTTTTGACTCAGAATGGAACTTTACTCTCTCAGATAGTCACTGCACAATTTGGAGTTCCTACTTAGTGAGCAACTGGCAGGATGAAGGATTTTCACACACCTTCATCCTGTCCTTCAATTGTACTTCTTAGAATGGGAAATTCTATTCCCAATTACTCATGCCTTAGCCATTTCCAAGTTGGGCTCCCAAGCTGCCCATAAAGAGCATTCAGAAGCTCTAACTGGTTCATAATATTAAGGCAATTTGAGGAAACCATGATATGCCCATGTGACACCTCTGCTTCATGGACCAGACTGGCTCCATAGGTTTATGGGTACAAATCAAGGTGCTAGTGGTGACTATAAAACCCCACAAGGCCAGATTATTTATGGGATCACTGATCCCCAATTATACCTGCCCTTCCCACCAGATTTAACAAGGTGGGTGTAGAAGATCCCTTCTCTGAAACAATGCCACCTAATGGGATCCACATAGTTGCAGCATCTGCTTTATGGAATAGCATTCTTCAAGATGCAGACTTAGCATTCTTAAAAGCTTTGAAGACAAGGCTTTTTTTCAATCATTGAGGTCATCTAGTTAGTAAAACCGAATATGTATGGCTTGATTGAATTATAATTTTCAGGGAGTTTGGCTATATTGTAATATTTTATTATTTCTTGGATTTTTTGCATGCATTGTGCATCACTCAGAGTCACAAGATTTTGATGGAAGGCTATATAAATTCAATAAATAAATAATTTTTCATTTTTTAAAAAAATCTTTTTTTTATAGGTATTTTTCTTCTTTTCAGTTTTTCCCTGATCTTGTAATATATTTGTGTTTCTTTACATACCCATATATCTATATCAAAATAATATATTAAGTAAGCAGTGCTTCCATCTGAATTTCCTTTGTCTGCACAAATGTTGTTCTAGGCAGAAACATAGAGTATACTGTTTAAATGTTTGCATGTTTGTTCACTTCAAATCTATCTTCACATTCCAGATTAATGTTCCATTTTTAAATTTGTTTTTTAATTGGGTTACATTTCATTTCCAGATAATTTTATGTTTTGGAGGGTTTTTTTAGGACATTTTTATTTTGAAAACATGGCTGTTTATTGTCATTGGTCTTCAGATGTATAATCCTACTCATGTTTAAAGCAAGATTTTGTTGAACAATTTGCTTTCTCCCCGATGTACATAGTCATGCATTCTTCAGGAAGTGCTTAGCCATTAAATCCAATTTTGATTATGTTTAGTTTACCCATGACAGTCTTTTATGAAACATTAGCTTTTTATCTTAAGCCTGTACAAATGAGAAAGAAATAATCACAACTATTTGCACTGTTTTGTTTTGTTTTTCAAGCACTTTTGTGCAATGGAAAGTTTCACAAGCATTTGCAAGAGATTTTTGTTCCCTTGGTCATCCGCTACATTGATCTCATGGAATCATCCATTGCCCAGTCCCTTCACAGAGGTCTTGAACAGGAATCATGGCAGCCTGTCAAGTAAGTGTTTCTGGAAAGCCTACACCAACTGCACCTATAATATCTTTATTCTCATTTTGGTTTTCTATTCTCCTCAATGTTAGTTTTTATATATTATTTTTATGGTTTCCATGCATTGTTTATTTCTTCACAGGACCATCACCAACAGTCTTCCCAATGTAGCTCTTCCAAAAGTTCCAAGTTTGCCTCTTAATCTTCCACAGATACCTAGTTTTTCTACACCAACATGGATGGCTTCTTTATATGACTCCACGTGTGTATTCTTGACTGAACTTTGAGTGTCTGTATGTGTCTCAGCTCTGCATGGCCTTGTTGGTGTCATGTTGTACAGCTGCATTTGGACAGCATGGTGTTTGTGATCATTGGATTGGAAATTAGAATTTTTTGGTTGACAGCCAAGCATGGAATGTCATTGGATTGTGCTTTTTGGTGTATAAGATCTCAGTAGGATATTACTTAAAATTAACTAGATAAGGTTTTGTTATGAAACACTTAACAGTCATCACCCTTAATTACATAATTGCTCTTATTTAGTTAATAAGCAGTGTGGAAGCACTTTAAATTATTGTACTCAAGTATGTTTTTTTTAAATGTCAATAGCTCTTTGTGTCTTGGCGTGTTGTTAGTAATCCACTGCATGTGCCAAATAATTTCAAAAGCTGCAGCAGTAGCAATTGGTTTTATTATTTTTATGAGACTTTGATAGTCTTCTTTTATTAAGGCACTTCTAGCATTAATAGAGTTCAATTCTCAACTAATTACACTGCAGCCGACTGAGATTCCATCTCTTATTTTTTTACAAAACAGAATCAGATAGCTTTCTGTGTTTTCAAAGAGCAACTTTACAATTACTGTATACATTACGGTTATGTTATATTAGGATGATGCATTCAGTAAACTGAACAAAATTAGCAATATGTAAAGAGAGACTTCCAAATTTGTACTAAACAAGAGGCATTTTCCAATTTTTATGATGTTTCTTTCTTCACTAATTTCTTTGTGAGAGAAGTTGAAATGGTAGAAAATAAAGGATGACTATAAAAAGGTAAAAAAAAAGGTCTCAACTTTTACATGGTTGTATGATTCCAACAAGGCAATCCCAACATAAAAGCTTCTCCTGGGTGCATCCAGAAGTACTGTACTCACTAAAACCTGTCATTTAATCTGTATCCACTAATTTAAAAAATTCAGTAGATTTACATGTACATAGAATTGTTGATACCAATATTTTTTTCTGCTATTTATTGTCTCATTCCCTGTAATTGGAGATTCTATTGTTTATGTAGCTATAACAAAACCATTCATGCCTAAGGAAGGAAAATTAAAATTACAGCACTTCCAATAGTATAAAAAAGTATCCAGAATAGCATGGACTCATGAAAAGATCAAGGTTGATCAGTTCAGGGCTTTTCAACCTTTTCACCCATTGTACCACTTTTAGGATAAGGCAATATCCGAGTACCACCAGTTGCCCAGCAAGGTGTCAAAAACTTGACCCAAAAAAAGAGAGGAAAAAATGATAAGGTACAGGTAGTCTTCAACTTACAACAATTCGCATAGTGACTGTTCGAAGTTACAACAGCACTGAAAAAAGCAAATGATGACCATTTTTCACATTTAATGCCATTGCAGCATCCTTAGGGTCATGTGATTTACATTCAGATGCTTGGCAACTGATTCATACTTATGATGGTCACAGTGTCCCAGAGTCATGTGATCACCTTTTGCAACTTTTTGACAAGTGAAGTCAATGACCAGAGGGCGTGGCCAGCTCATCACTCAGGTTGTGGGGTGCCTGTGGGGGGTGCAGGCAGGGATGTGGGGGGTGAATCTGTGAGTCTCTGGTGGAGGGGGGTGGGACAGGCATGGGCACATTCCTTTCCTCCCTCTTTCCCTACCATTGTCCCTTCCTTCCTTCTTTCCTTCCTTTCTTCCTTCCCTCCCTCTTTGTCCCTTCCTCCTTCCCTTCCATTGTCCCTTCCTTCCTTCCCTTCCTCTTCACTCTGTTCCTTCCTTCCCTGCTTCCCTCCCATTATCCAACACTACGGGAGCCCGGAGGAGGCAATTGGAGTTTGGCCACCGTCGCTGCTGCTATTGCTGAGTCAGACATCTACGTGACAGTAGATGCTGCAGTTCCTGCTCGCTGCTTCTCCTTGGCTGCTTCCTCTGAAAAGGAGCAGCAGTCATGCTTGGTGCATTGTCCAGCATGCCCAGGAACCCAGCACAGCCGTTGTTCTTCCACAGGGGGAGGAGAGCACAGGGAGCGGAGGAGCGCCCAGGGACAGGGAAAGAACCACGGCTGCCGGACACCCTCTGGTGCACTGAACGCAGCTGCAGCCAGAGAAAAGCAGCAAGTGGGGAAGCGGCTCATTCATTGCTGCAGCCGCAGCCCGGAGTCATGCGCAGCCCCAGGCATTTCTTTTATGGGCAAGGGGGAGCCTCAGCACCAGGCTGGACCCTGGGAGGCTCCTCAGCGCTGAGGCAAAATGCAGCTGCAGCAGCTCCAGCCCCTCCCTGGGTGCAAAGGGGAGCTTTTTGGGCTCCAGCCCCATCGCTGCACTGACCTGCGGGCAAAAAAGGGCCTTGCTCTCCAGACGAGAGCCAAGCCCAATGACCGGAGGGCAGCCATGAGAGCAACGGGAAGAGCGGGTGGGGCCTTGCCAGGGAGGGCCACCCCACACCTCTAATGGTAGTCGGAGCAACGACGCACAGCTGCCAATCCCGCCCTGCTCAGCTTGCCCATTCTTATTCCCCCCTCCCAAAAGGCATTGTCGTAAACTTTACAGCTTTCTGCAAGCAAATGAGATGAGCAGGAGCATGAGATTGGCGTTTCTGAGCACACGCCGATTCGCACCCCTACCCATATCACTCGCTTGCCGGTGCCCACAATCTTCCCGGCTTCCCCTCTGCCTGCTTTGAGCAGCTTCTCCTGGGCCCCCCATGCCTGCTGTTAACCCTCCCGCCGCAATGCAGTGTAAGGTTGGCGCCCCCGCCCCCGCCCAGATGCCCTCGCCTCCCCCAAGCATTTTTTTACTCACCTGCTTTCAGCTGCACTCTCTTTCTCCTTTTGCTTCTCTGCCTTTGCCACATGTTTGTGGGTAAAAAAGAAAAAAAAGTTCCATGAGACTTTCTAACTTCTCATGAGAAGTTAGAAAGTCTCATGGAACTTTTTTTTTTTTTGTCTCACGAACACATGAAGGCTAAGAAGGACAGGAGAAAGGGAATGCTGCTGAAAGCAGGTGAGTAAAAAAATGTTTGGGGGAAGTGAGGGCATCTGGGTGGGGGGGGGCAGGCAATGCGTCGCACAGCTCCAGTTTAATCTCCACTGAAGACTGCTTGAGGCTGCCTGCTACCCCCAAGGCCGCTGCCAATCAGCTGGAGCTGCGCGCTTTGATCCTGGGCTCTCAGTAGGACCCAGGCAATGTGCAGTTCCAGCTCACTTTGCCACAAGCCTATGCTTCACCTCATCCACTTTTACACTTTTTTTAACTTTTTTTTTCAACCCGTCCTATGTGTACCACCAGCCAGGTGCTTGCGTACCACTGGTTGAAAAGCCCTGGATTAGTTGACTGGAACATTATGGTGAAGATTATTGTATTTTACATTTTCTTGCATTCTAACTATATTTAACTCAAGACCAAACAAAGCAAGGCTTCATTCATAAGATTTCCAAATATATAAATGAATGTTTGAAATAAATAAGTAGGTGGGCTGATTTGGATCAGGATTCTTGTATGTGAAGTAGAGGGACTTTAACCCTTGCCATGTTTAGATTTGATTCAGAAGTGCTCTGCTTGTTTTCAAGGTGAGCATGTCTAGTTACAAAAACATTTATCAAAAGTCAACCTGGTGAAGTTTAGAAAGTGGCCACACCTCTGAATAAATAGTTTCATCCACTCCCATTTTTATTATCTGAGACTGACTTATGGGATCTATATTATATTTAGATAAAGATGACATTAGATGTTAACACTTTGCTTTCCAGTATTTCTAAGTTTAAAAATGAAATAAAAAATAAACTTTTGAATTAAAAATATTAAGCATATTTTCAAAATATAGAACATAAGAATTTTGCACTTGTATTACTTAAGATAATGTAAAATCTTAAAACCATATTTCATCCATCTTATGAAAACTTGAAGAAAGCAACTGAAATAAAGATTTGAGCAGTATAGAAAGCAGTTGGAATTTTCCTAGAGTCATTATGGATTTCTCTGACTCCACTGATTCAGACACTAAAGAATGGGTTCTTAGCCTGCAGTTCAAGAGATAGCAAGATATCAGCTACCTGTGAGTAATGGGTCTGCCTCAGTCCATCTAGAAGTTGGTTTTGGTCATAAGGGACAAAGCTTAATTTTGAGATAGTGTCACCAGCTAATAAGAGCCAAGCATTGGAGGTTGCTACAGGTCCTCAAATGAAAGAGGCATCAACATCTCTAATCAAGCAGAATCAAGAAGTATTTTACAGCACTTTCTTGATTCTTTTCCCTTATTGGAAACAACTTTTTTGTTTTCATAGAAATTTCTGCTAAAGCTGATTGAAGTCAGTTTTACATTTTGAACTCCAAGAAGAATCCATTAGGGTTGCTCAAAAGGCTTAATAAAACTTAAAAATGGAAAGTGACAAATTTTGGTGGTGAAATGAGAGATAAATCACACAGAAATAATGTATACAGTATCCTGACAGTGCAGAAATTGATGGGAAAACTAGAGCTCATAATGAGCTGAGATTTGTTAAAGATGCTAATGTCAATGAAAAATATGCTTCAAATAAATTCAAAATAAAAAGAATCAGTGCACTAGATCTTCATGAAGGTGGCAAGGTGTTTATCAGTAGCAAATAAAAGGCACAGATACTCCTAGTTTAATAGTAGAATCGTAGGGCTAGTAGCCACCCAGGAGATCTTCTAGTCCAGTGGTTCTCAACCTTTCTAATGCCGCGATCCCATAATACAGTTCCCCATGTTGTGGTGACCCCCAACCACTTATACATCACTGGGTGCCAGGGGCATGGCCAAAGAAAAGGGGAAAAAATGGCGGACAGCCTTGTTTGGCGACCCCCATGAAATGGTCGTTCGACCCCAAATGGGGTCCCGACCCACAGGTTGAGAACCACTGTTCTAGTCCAACCCCACTTCCACCCAAAGCAGGAGACCTCATACCATCCTGGACAAATGATTGTCCAATCTTTTCTTGAAAACCTCCAGCAATGGAGCACCCACAACTCCGGGAGGCAAGCTGTTCCATTGATTA